CATTTGACCCAGATATCCCTCTGCTGCGTATCTTTCCAAAAGAATTAAAAGAATCATACCACAGTGATATATGCACACCCATGTTCATAGTGGCACAGTTTGTAATAGCTAAAGTGTGGAAACAGCCCAAGTGCCCATAAATAAATTTATAGTTCTTTGTATTTTACCCTACCTTGCTTTTCCTTTTTTTCTCAGCAGAAAGTCTACAATGGAAGAGCTACCTAGAAACCAACAAATGGCCTACTTTCTGGGTCACAACAGCTCAATGCACAGTGATGGACTCCTCATTAGGTAGGCAACACATAAGTCCCCACTCTGTCCCAAGTTTTCCTTGGTCATTCTCTGGCTGTAGCTTAGCTCCTTCTGGGGCTCATCGCTGTGCACTAGGTGGCTGGGCATGCAGAAACTATAAGGCCCCGGTGAGGACAGGAGTAGAAGACAACTGGATCCTGAGCCACTCTGAAGCAAGGAGAGCAATGCAGCTTAGAGAGAGAAAAATGCCTTGTTGAGGGTCAACAGCAAGTGCACAGATCCCAGGGCTGTGATGGGACGAGAAGATGAAGTGCTCTGGCTTCGGGAAAAGAGACCCAAGTCTCAAGGTAAAGCCACTGCTCACCAGCCTGGGGCCTACAGGGGACTGAGGTGTGTCTGCAGTTGGGTTCTAACCCCCGTGTGTGTGTGACAAGAGGCAAAAATGTATCTGCTAGCCAGGTGTATCGCACACCTGTAATCCCAGACCTCCGGGAGGCTGAGGCAGGAGAATCAGACGTTTGAGCTCAGTCTGGGCAACTTAGCTACTCTGCAAGACCCTTTCACAAAACAAAAAACAAAAAAGGACTGCGGATGTAGATCAGTGTGAAGGCCTTGAGCTCAATCATCCCGAGTACTGCCATAAAACAGCAGTCTCCTGTCCTGAGCATGCCCTCCCCAGGCATGAAGAGATCAAAGGTTCCACTCTTGCAAATAATGGTTTCATTTTAGGTTGGGCACTGTTCTTCTCCTTGTACCTCATTTGCAAGGCAACTGGCACCCAAGCAATGTGGGAGTTCCAGTGGTGGGCTTTAGCACTGTATCCAGGGTTGGGACTTTGTGAAGGTTTTTAGTTTTTGTCATGGCCCTCCCATCAACAGTGACCTAATTTCATCTCCAACTCCTCTTTCTAATACCATTACTGCCTTGTATTCACCATCTAGGTGAATGGTTCACAACTTTGGCTGCAAATTAGAACCAGTTGGGAACTTTTCAAACCTCAGCACCAAAGCCAGACCCCAGACCACCATTATGTCTCTGGGAATGGGGCCCAGGCTCCCCAGGGGAAACCAATGTGGTCAAGGTAAAGCACCTCAGCCCTGCTGGGGGAACAGAGAGCAAGAGCGGTGACCCAACCACCTTGGTCTCCACTGGGCTGACCGCACTGCTCCACCTACAGGCAGCAGTTTCTAAACGTCTACTGCCCTGGCTTCCCTCACAAGTAAAGCTCGCTGACCCTAAACGGCAATGCAGACAAAACTAAGGAAAGAGAATCAAGAGGAACGGTGTTAAAATGGGAATGTGCATGCCTCCCAAAGGCTGCCTCCTAGCAACCGGTCCCGAGAGGCCAGGAGAGAGCCTCACTTGTCACACCGTATTGATACTTTTTCTCTCAGATCAAGAACTACTGATATCCACACGTACAGACATTAGAACCAGGAAGCACGATGGAGCGCAGAGCAGGGCTTCTCATGTCATGGCAGCCACAGATGGCACACACTTCCCATCCAACTGGCTCCCAGCGCAGGGTCCCCAAGGCTCCCCCACGCACCAGGAGCAAGTCCTCAGGCTGCAATCAGTAAGCACCAGCTGGTTGGGACTTGCCTAGACCATCAGTAAAATGGTAGAATTTGGGAGGTGAGGCAGGAGAATCACAAGTTTGAGGCCAGCCTGGGCAACTTAGTGAGACAACAAAAAGGGCTGGGGATGTAGCTCAGTGAGAAGGAGGCTCTGGGTTCAATTCCTAGTGCCACCACCATCACCAAAAAAAAAGAGAAACATATATAGTTACGAAGATTGTTCAATTACAATAGCAAACTTTATAGCTGAAAAGAAAACGAGTGGCTTTTAAAGTGACTTGTGCCAGGTGTGGTAGTGCATGCCTGTAATCCCAGTACTCTGGAGGCTGAGGCAGGAGGATCACTGCAAGTCTGAGGCCAGGCTGGGCTACAGAATAAGTTCAAGGCCAGTGAGACCCTGTCTCACAAAAACCTAAAGGAAGGGAGGGAGGGACTTGTGTCTTTGGGTTCCAAGCCCTATTATGCAGCCTTCTCACTTCCCAGGACTCTCTTCACACTGTGCAAGGGCAGCTGCTGTGGCTGTGGAGGGTGTGAAAAAGCACAAAGTATCAACCTTGGAGGAGTTTCCAACAGACCAGTGAAGAGGAAACTCCCACGGGCACCAAGTGCTCAGAGGGAAATTAAACAGCCCTGAGGTTCCCATGGGGAAAAGAGTGCTATTCTGTGACCACAGGAACTACCCAGAAATGCCTGTACTGACCTTCCCTCAAATCAAGACAAAAGAGAACCACAGAATGAAGATGGTGGCAGCTGCTGTCAGAGCAGGAATGCAGGACTCAGCTTGAGAAACTCAGTGAGACTGCCATGTTCTCCCTGCTCCAGCCTTGGCTGGCACTCACAAGGCTTTGCAAAACACAAGAGTGGCATCAGAGAAGCCACTTCTCCAGCAGCTCCATTCCTGATGTTGGGGAGAGTTTGAGCTTGCAAAGCAAGTGCATGAAGCAAGAGAAGGCAGAGACCCAGAGGTATTTCCATGGGTCACTGATCTTAATGAAGAAAGCAGGGAGAAGGAAAAAGACTACAAAGGACAAGACTAGGAAGTGGGAGGACAGAGCAGGAGTGTTACGAAGGAAGTCTCAGAAAGAAAGGTGTAAGCAGCACCACAGCCACGGAGAACTGATGCTACTATCCACCCACCCATACCAGGCTTTGAAGGAGTCACTCTCTTAGGCCCACACCTCATGCCCCAAGTACAAGGTGGGTGATTTTGCAGTTCATTGTGGGTTTATTTGTTTTTGTTTTTTGAGACAAGGTCTTGCCAGTAATTCAGGCTGGCTTTGAACTCACTACATAGCCCAGACTTGCCTCAAACTCAGAGTTATCCTCCTGTCTCAGTCTCCCAAGTGCTGGGATTAAGGCATGCACCACCATGCCCAGCTACTCTACTGTATTTTAAAATTCTTCCATTGAGACTTTCCACTGAGACTGTTTGACTCAGATTACTTGAGAATTTATTACTTAAATTCCAAGTGTTTGGAGATTTTTGTTACCTGTTTCTGATTTCCAGTTTCATTCCATTGTAGTTCCAGAACATACTTTTATTTCAATTCTTTTAGATTTAAATTTATTTTATATCTCAGAATATGGCCTATTTTGGTCAACATTCCATGGGCTTGAGAAGAATATATATTTTTGGAGTTATGTTCACTGTTCTATTTCCTTCTCTCTCTCTTTTTCTCCCTCTCTCCCTTTCTCTTTCTCTTTTTTCAGTATTGGGGATTGAACCAAGGCCCTTCTCATTAGGCTACATCTCTAGCCCTTTTTTAACACTTGCCAAGTATAACAGAACACACCTGATTCCATAACTCGGGAGGCCGAGGCAGATTACTGTGAGTGCAAAGCCAGCCTGGGCTACATAGCAAAACCCTGTCTCAAATGAATAAGTGAGTGAGTGAATGAGTGAATGAATAAATAAATACAAACTTTAAGATAGCTTCTCAAGAAGTTGCTAAATTGCCAGGATAGGTGTAAACTTTTGATCCTCCTGTCTCAGCCTCCCAGAGTGCCTTGATTATAGCTGTACACCACTACAACTGGCTAAAAAGTGGTTTTTGTTGGTTTTGAGAGACGGTTTCCCTAAGTGGCCCAGGCAGGAGTCAAATTTATAATCCTCTAGCCTCAGCCCCCCAAGTCCTGGGATTATAGGCATGCAGTACTATACCCAGCTTCTAGGCTGCTTCTCGCATGGAGATTTATCATCTCTCTCTTTCTCTCCACTTGTCTGATGAAAAGAAAAAGGTAGTAAGAGTTTTTACTGTTATCAGGTCATAAGACCCAGTCATGCTTCTATAATGTACAGCAAATGGTTCACTGATAAATCACTTTTTTTTTTGAGACAGGGTCTCACTATGTAGCCCAGGCTGGCCTTGAACACAGTGATCCTCCTATCTCAGCCTCCTGAGTGCTGGGATTACCAGTGTGCACCACCACCCCCAGTGCTGATAAACCACTTTAAAGAATGGAAAAAGACATTTACATGAGACCTTTCACAATGTCTTTCAGATAGCCAGCTTTAAAGATAGCTGGAACCAACAGCCCAGGGACCCAGGCCCAGAAGAAAACCATATAAGGGGAGCCATTTTTCTCACTCACCAATCCCCACAGGGAGCCTTCAGAGGTGGTGACAATGGTAGCAGACCTCGGGGTATTGTACATCAGAGCTAGTTCTCCAAAACTGCCAGGGTTGTCATACTGACAAAACAGAATGCATTTGATTATCTTTTGTTATTAAAATGTCATAGGTTCCCCAGGAAAGAATGACAAGAAACAATTTAATTACTTCTGATAATAAATTTAAGAATTGGCAAGTGCATATAACATAAAACATCAGAGGATTTCCAAAAGAATTTTCTAGTATATACAAATGCAACAGGGCCGGGGATTTAGCTCAGTGGTTTCAGCACCTGCTCGCAAGCACAAGGACCCAAGTTCGATCCCCAGTACCCCCCCGCCCTCAACAAGCTCTCTCAATACAAATGGAACAGATTTTTATATTCTGACTTTGAAGCCCATGATATTGCCAAACTCTAAGTTCTAATAACATTTTTCTAGCACTCTTGGTATTTTCTACAGGGAGGATCATGCTACCTGAAGAATTTTACTTCTTTCTTTACAATCTATATGCCCTTCCTTCGTTTTTGCCATATTGTATTCACTAGGACTGACTGGAAATGGTCACCACATCCTTTATTATTCTCAAGGGAAAATCATTTTATCTTTCACTATTAAGTAGGATGTTCACTTTGGATTTTTCACAAATGTCTTCAGTTAGGTTGGAAAAAGTGCCTTCTATTCTTAGTTTGTTGAGCATTTTTATTATAAAATGGTACTGAATCTTATCAAGTGTTCTGCTGCAGGTACTAAATTGCCTGTATAGGTTTTCTTTCACAGTTTGCAGAAAATCAGGATATAACAAAATAAAGTAAGTAAATGATATGGAATCATCTACCTGATTATAAAGACTGCTAAGGAAAAATATTCAGACCTGACAAGCATTTGGAGAAACAGGCACTCTCAACACAACACTGAGGCAAACATCAACTTTCCAAAGTGTCTGTAAAATAATGAAAAACCATAGCCAATGCCTTAAAGAGACAAAGAGATCTTTGACACAATGATATTTCTAATTAGGCCAAAAGAGAGAATCAGTAATACTGAAAAAGAATCTCAGGGAAGCTTGCCAAGTACTATTTATAATAGCAAAAATTACAAATAATTTACTCTGTTAACAAGAGGGGAATGCGTTAAATATGTTTATATCCGTATTACACATTAAAAAGGATGACACAGGGTGGGGGATTTAGCTCAGTGGTGCCCCGCCTGTCTCACCAAGCCCAAGGTCCTGAGTTCCATCCCAGGTATGTCCAAAAGAAAAAAAAAGACATAAAAGCAAGGTGTGCTGGGTGTGGTGGCACAAACCTCAGATCCCAGCTCTCAGGAGGCTAAAGGCAAGAGAGGCCAGCAGGGTCCACACAAGTTACAAGTTCAAGGCTAGCCAGGACTACATAGTGAGATCCCCGTCTCAAAAATAACCAAAGGGCTGGGCATTGTTGGGGCACACCTGTAATCCCAGCACTTAGACGAGGCAGGAGGCTTGACTCGAATTGAAGCCAGCCCAGCCTACATAATGAGTTCAAGGGCAGCCAGAACTACATAGATTGACCTTGTCTCAAAAACAAAAAACAGGGCCCGGGATTTAGCTCAGTGGTTCTGCCGGCTGCCTTGAAAGCACAAGGTCCTGACTTCGATCCCAGGTGACAAACAAAAAAAACAACAAAACAAAACAGAAACAAAACCAAAAACTAATCAAAGCCAGGCCCAGTGGTGCAAGCCTGTAATCCCAGCTTTCTGGGGGGCAAGAGGCTCATCACGAGTTCAAGGCCAGACCAGGCTATACAGTGAGTTCAAGGCCAACCCAGACTACATAGTGAGACTACATGGCTTGGTCCTATCTCCAAAAAAACAAATGAACAAACAAAACTTCCAGCCACTTGTGAGGCTAAGGCAGGAGGATCTTAGGTTGAAGGAAAACCTGAGCAATTTAGCAAGACCTTGTTTCAATAAGGCTGAGGATGTGATTCAGTGCTCCATGGATTCAATCCCTACTATTGTGAAAAATAAATACATATGCACCTTTGTACATACATACATACATACGTACGTACATATAGAATAAAAATATGACATAGACTAATATTACTTTCCATGGGAAACTGCTTAAATAGACTTTAAAGATTGGATCATGTAATGTATGACCCAGTGTAAAGTATATATTTGTAAATTTTGATACTTGGTTTCTGACAGCTTTAGAGCTCTAACACTCACCCTTTTTTCTTCTGCCCCACATTTGGGAAAGCTCATAAGAATACTTCAATGCTCCCTCATGGTGAATTCAAATAACACAGAGCCAGCCCATGTGCCAGAATACTCTTATTCTAGACACCGTAAGATCCTAGGCAAGTTACCTCTCCCTGCTGTTTCAACTCACTTTTGGACCTATTTGTGAACCTGCCCTGCTCTTCCAAAAGCCTCATGAGATGAGTAATAAATCCTCTCATACTTATAGTGTATACATAGTGTCATCAGTCTTGACATCTGAGCCAAACTTTGGTTGAGGGGTCTACCTCAAAACATGGAGAAACCAATGGAGGAATACAGTCTAGTGATGAGATTATGGATAAATTATCAGGCAATTTTTAGTTTTCGTTTTGCAAAAATTGTCTGTAAGGAGATATCACTTAAAAGGTCTCAAATTATCACATATTAAATAAAAACAGAGAAAACTCAACTCCCACTTATGTGGCAACGAATCTCAAAGGAGCTCACCACTCAACAGGGAAGCTGACCGTGGCAGAAGGCCGTGCTGTAGACACAGCAGAAGCTAGGTCCTGTCCTCTCCAGGAGACACTGGTGATTTGACTTTGGGAAAGGTGCACACCATTTCTGGCAGCAGCGCTGCAGAGAGCACCTCTCCTACTCCTCTAAACAACAAGATGTATTCTTATCATCACAGTTGCCACCATATTATGTAATTAGTTACCTATTTAAGGGTCTGCTTCCCTGACTAGACAATGAGTTTTCTGAGGCCGGGAACTGTTTTGTTTTGTTTTGCTTTTACATGAATGATAGTCTTTCACTTCCTCATCTAAACGTGTTAACAAACTAATCCCTTCATAGACAGGCATTTCAACCTCTGTGTTGTTGACAGGTGCAGGTGCCAAGTGCCTGCTGGGACCTCCGTTTTGGTGGCAAAGTAAGTATACAGAACATTTGTAGTGGCTTCTGGAGGTGGAGATGTAACTTAAAAAATTATTATCAGTACTTACAGAATTTCTGTGTACAAAGGATTAGCATAACATAAAATATCTTTCCTTTGAGGAGATATTATTTATAACATTCTTATTTAAATAAAGCATTTCCTTTAATGTTAATAGTTACAGGTATCAAGGACCTAATGGTTACCCAAGGAGTAAGAGTGTTTTCTGTTAAAAAACCTCAACAAACACAGGCTTGACACAAAGGGAACCAACTGAATCTAGCACAGCTACCTTATCAAGATTAAAAGAACTTCAAAAATCAAAGAAATAAATGGGACATTTTGAATAACATCTGTGTATTAGACACAGTAGTGAATAAATGCTGATTTCTGATTTTTATAATTGTTCTATGCTTAAGTAAGAGAAAGTTCTTACTTTTAAAAAATGCACACTGAGGTAATTCAGATATGAAGGGATGTTGTGCCTGTAACTTACTCTCAATAACTTGATAAAGCAAATGTGATAGAATATTAACCTAGGTTATGAGAACTTTTTGTACTATCTATGCAACTTTGTTTCTCTGAAATTACTTCAAGAGATTAATGGAAGATATTGGGTTAAACAGCATCTTATTACTTTAAACTCTGTTACAGGCATTCCATTCAGGACTGAGAGGCATCAGCAGGAAGGCTCACCTTATCCAAAAGAATACTATCAACTCAAGAGGGTAAGATACAGTAACATGGGCAGGTCAAACCCACTTAACTTCTTCCAATATGGCTTATACCTGGAACAGAGCCAGAAGAGGCTAGAGGTATGGAGGTCAGGGCAGTGTATTGATGTGTAAAGTTAGGCTGGAAATCAAAGATCCAAATTGCAGTATAGTATCATGACCGCTCTTTTCTTTTTTTTTTTTTTGTACAGGGGAGGGGATGGAACTTGGGTCCTTGTGCTTTCAAGGTAGGCAGCAGAACCACTGAGTTAAATCCCCAGCCCCATGACTGTTCTTCAGTAAATCTATTCACTTGAATACTGGCCAATAACATGTTTATAAAGCACCTCCTACATTTGCTTTATAACTATACAGGAGATTTTGTACTGTGAATGGTGGGTAGAAATATGGGTTGTAGTGAAAACTCAGGACAACAGGGGGCTGTAGTCCCTTGCAAGCCTTTGAAAGCTTGATCACCTGGCACTATACCTCTCTGGGCTAAACACAGGATGGGGAAAATCATCTGCCTCGTACCACGAATCTATTAAGAATGGCCACATAACTACAGAATTCCATCTCCTACCTTTCTATGACATAAAAGTTGTCTCCATCATCTCCTTGGTCAAAGACATGCTCATCCACTTTGACTGTCCTTTCAAACATGGCATCGAGGACTTGAGAAAGCTGTTCCTACAGGGTACACACAAGGAGAAAAAGATGACTTTTAAACTTGTTGAAAACACAACAGTCATGCTTATCTCAATTTGTGACTATACAATAGAGGTGATCCCCATACTAGACTGCGCCCCATTTTTAAGCAGAAACCTAAAGGCTGTCTGAAACAAATGCTCTCCTCAGGCCAGTCAGCTCTGCACGTCCATGTACCTCAGTAGACAGGATAATTGTCAAGTTTTTGAGATAATATCGTTTCAAAAAAGTTTTCCAAGGGTTGAAGATTTAGCTCAGTGACGCCATGCCCACCTTGCAAGCACAAGGCCCTGAGTTCAATCCCTGGTACCAAAAAAAAAAAAAGGTTTTCCACAATTTGTGCTAACACAAATTACCTAAATCTAGTGCCAATGTTCCCAGTTGTGTCCACAGGC